CCTGTGCTTGAAAATTAAAATTTTATTTGTGCATTTCTAATATCCTGCAGTGGGTGTGATAAACAAAAGAAAGCACTACATGGGTTTCAGGGTCAGACAGACCCAAGCCTGCATTTCCTCATCTGCAAAACCAGTGTTACTATTTATTACCTTTTGGGTCTCTTAAGGATTAATGAGTAATGGGTATGCAAGTGCCTCACACTCAGGGGGCCCTGGCTGGGTGGCAGTTTTCATTTTCAGCAGGCGCCTCAGGATCACTGATTGTAATTTCATGATCTCATCTGTGAGTTCTAGAGTTTGTCTGGGCCAGGAAATGTGAAAATTCACAGGGCAGTTGGGGAATCACTTAGGATGTTATGACTTAAAAACTGGTAAACAAGGGGAAAAGAATTGTTTATTCCGCAATTCCTGTATGAACGGTACCACTGAACAGCCAAATAAGTTACATTTTATTTAAGAATATGTCAGCTAATCGCTGAAGAAGAAATGATAGAATGTCACCAATTTGCAACTCGTAATGAAAGCATATGTCCAGGCAATAATCATCAATGGCTGCTAACATCACACAAAGAAATATTCTTGCAAAAAAAAATTGAACCCAAATTTGACCATATCTCTGCGTGCAACTGCCAGTTTACAGAAAACATCGTCAAGTTGGAATTGGCAAAAAATTCATACTATAGCAAACTCGGGAGTACAATTATGTTTCTTCCACAATGAGGAAGAAGAGAAATGCATGAAAAACTTTAAAAAGTACCAATCAGCAATCAGAACATGTGGGCCTTATTTGGATCCTTATTTTTAAAGTAATTTTTTAAAAAAGACAACCATTGTGGAGCCTGAGGGGCTCAGTCTGTTAAGTGTCCAACTTCGGCTCAGGTCATGATCTCACAGTTCATGGGTTCGAACCCTGTGTCGGGCTCTGTGCTGACAGCTCAGAGCCTGGAGCCTGCTTCAGATTCTGTGTCTCCCTCTCTCTCTGCCCTTCCCCTGTTCACACTCTGTCTCCCTCTCTATCTCTCAGCAATAAATAAACATTTTTTTTTAATTTTTAAAAGAATGATTAAAAAAAAGACAACGCTTATGATGTTTATAAACAATTGGGAAAAAATGATCTTATGACCTATCTTAAGCAAACATTTCCCTTTAATGACACACATTTTTCCCTGTCCTACCCTTCAGGGGCCCAAACCAGGAGTACATATAACCCACTTACCATTTACCTAAATATCTAAAAAAAAAAAAAAAAAAAAAAAAAAAAAAAAAAAAAAAAAAAAAATTCTGTTAGCTGAGGGAATCACCTCCTCCTACAAAAACAAAACAAAAACAAACAAACAAACAAACAAACAAACAAAAACAAAAGCCACTTCCCAAACCCAGAACCTTGGACAAGATCATGTAAGCAGACAGTTCATTTAGGGAGTGATTCCAAGGAGGAGAAGTGGAAGTCTCAGAAGAAAAAACAAGGGAGGAAGGGAAATCCAGTGCAAGTGTACATTATCACCGATCACCACTCTGGGCAACTGACTTGATCCTTCCAGGGCTTCTCCAAAGAGCCATGGAGAGAACCACTGAATTATCTTCCTGAGGAATAGAAGATAGAACCAGGGAATATTTACCCCTGGTTCCTGGGTTCTGTTAGTCAAGGGTTGTCCAAGGCAGGGTTACCTCTCTAGCACCTCTGGGTTTGCATGTTTGTTAGAATGGCATGAGCATCCTAGCATATGTTCTCTGGGGGAGAACATACAGCCACAGTGTAGCTAAGGCAAAGTGCTGCTGGGTGACCCTGCACACAGTTGGTTTCCATAGCAACAGCTGGACTGAAAAACGGTCAAGAAGAGTGTGAGGTAGAGGGCTAGATATGACTGTGACAGGGACCAGGGTAGTACACTGTTGAATCAAACATGCCCTGTCCTCCCATCTTAAAAAAATCACTTTCACAATGACCGGGAGACCAGATTCATATAGAGAGTTCTTAGACCCCTTTGAGTTCAGCCTCAGAACATGGTGGCATGGGGAGATTTGATCTCTGGTCCACCATCCATGGCCTGCCTCCTTCTCTGCCTGCCCTGTGTCCACCCCATGTCACAAGGGGCCTTTCACACATGTGTGTGAACACCCTGTCCATACTTCTGGCCTCTACTCACTCCTCCCTCCAAACAGCTGCTCCTTGGCCACCTGTAGCTCTAGGGGAGTGCACACTGATGCCCTTTGAAGGAAAAAAGACCTGGGAAGAGGCCTGGGCAGGCTCTAGAACCAGTCTAGAGCTTCCTGAGCCCACAGTTTGGGCGTCTTGGGCACCCAGAGCATAGTCTAGAGCACGAGGCAGGGTTGTAAGTGGGCATGTCCCATTGGTCTCATGGGCTGTGGATGAAGGAGAGTCAGAGTAGAGTCCTTTAAAGCATGGAGTCCCAGGCAGGGGCCCCTCCTACTCAGGCCAAAAGGTAATGCCAGTTTTTTACCACCCATTAATTTTACACCATCGGGTTCTGGGGTCAGACCGAACTTTGTCAATCCTGGCTCAGGCTATAAGCAACATTAGGGAAATTATGCACCTGTTTGGTTTCTTCACTTGTAAAAGGGAAGAAAGGGAGAGGCTATTCTGAGAGTTAATGGAGCGGTATTACATGAGCACCTACCCTGTTTCTGGCATATAGTAGCCTTCCATAGCAGGCAGGTAGATGTGCTGCCTCCATACAACGACATCTGGGGCCAGGATTTGTGCAGTTGATGAGGGCTGAGGGAAAGGGACACAGACTGGAGGCAATGAACTTTTTCTCCTGGAATTTTCCTGGAAATGTACAAAAAAGAATAATTTGATAGATTTTCTTCAGAGTCCCAAAACTTTTTTTTTCAATTTTTTTATTGAGAGAGAGAGAGAGAGAGAGAGAGAGTGAGACAGAGCATGAGCAGGGGAGGGGCACAGAGAGAAGGAGACACAGAATCCAAAGCAGGCTCCAGGCTCCGAGCTGTCAGCACACAGCCCAATGCAGGGCTCGACCCCATGAACCGTGAGATCGTGACCTGAACGGAAGTCGGACGCTTAACTGACTGAGCCACCCAGGCACTCCAGAGTCCCAAAACTTTTTTAAGACTTGCTCTAGAACCCACTAGACTGTAAGCTCCTTGAGGACAGAGATGCGTATCCTTCTCTGTAAAACCCTAGCTCTCCATATTGTCTCACACATAGTAAGTGCTCAATAAAAAAGCATTGGATGGATGATTTCAAATTGGGTTTATTGCTTTTAGTGGAAGACATTTATTTCCCATATTGGCTCTAAAATTTCCATAGACATCTCAAACTGGAATCATTCTCTTTCTCAAACCCACTTCTTCCCCTAGTTCCCTACCTCAGTGTGTAGGACCACCAACACCCCAGACTATCATTCTCATTACCTCCCTCCTCATCACCTCCTATACCTGATCAATGACCATGTACCAGTGAGTCTGTCTATGTGGGAAGTTTTTTAATTTATCTGATTCACTGCCACAAACCTAGATCAGGCAACTATTCTCTCTCCGCTGAGATACTGCAGCATTTATCTGCTCATTTAACACCAACTTATGTTCCCTGAATATGTCCTCCCCAATGCAGCTGCAGTGGCCATTACACATCTGACCATATCCCTGATGGGCTCAGGGTAAAAGCCCAAGCTCCTTAACACAACCTGCAGGATCCTCTGATATCCATCATCTGCCCTGCTGGACCATAAGATCCTTGAGAGAAGTCTTTGTCTTATATTTCTTTGTATCTCCTGTGATCGGCCAGAAATTCACTAACTGTTACATAAATGGGTAAAGTATTTAAAAATCAAAACTATTTTTGATCTATTGGGAAAGTACAAAATTTAAATCATAGCCTTAAATTATCAAATATCAGAGATGAACCAAGACCTTTGAGCCAACAATTGACCCTAAGTAAACTCATGGTTGATTGACCTTGATAAGCAGGAACTACATCCATCCTTTGGTGCAGTGTTCTGGGCTCCTTGCACTGACCTTCATTTGGATATGGAATTAATTTAGTCTTAGAGTGAGTCACTGGGCTATTTCTAGAAACCACCATCTTTCTCTGAAGTGGTCTCTGGAGTGGTCTCTACTTAAGCCATCTGACTGCTCAAGGGAGCCTGTGTTTGTCTAAGAGAAACTGTACTCAGGGATTCATCTTCCACTTGGAGAGCTTTGATCAAGGATGATGGAACTGCCCAGTCTTTGTGTTCTTCACACCAGCCCTGTGCTCATACCAGCTTTCTTCTTTCATCAGTCATAGGGGCACCTTCCAATGTTTGCTGAAGGGAGAGTATTCGTGGTCTGATTTCTAGCACCAGGATCATGCCATCAACAGGTTTTACCTATTTTTTAACCTGGATAAGCTGCTTGATATCTCTGAGTCTCAATTTAGCCATCTTTAAATGGGGATAAAAATTGTAAATATCTGATAAAGTTATTTTGAGGATTAAAGGAGATGAAGTGTGTTTCGAGTGTAACATTACGTTGTAAAGGTTTTATGGATGTCAAAGATTGTTAGTTTTTCATGTTTTGTTTTGAAATGGGATTTGGGGGAGCTACTAAAACGTGAAAAATTATAAGATAAAAAAAGTAAATGAGAAAAAACAGGGTCAAGAGGAACATCACATCGTTCCAGGGAATCATGAGGATTTTAGCTTTCTTATATCAAATACCAACTTCACCAATCATTCATTCATTTGCTAGATCAGCATATAAGTTTGAGTAGCTCTTCGGCATGGGAGCATACACAAAGTGAAAGACCTTGCTTGTGCTTCAGGCTGGGAAGAAGAGTCCAAAAATACCCAACTGAAACACGGTGTAGCTGCAACTATGGGAGAAATGGAAGAGGGTGTGTGTGCCAGGGCTTGCCTGGGGAAACAGTCCTCACACACAACAACGTGGGTTTGCAGCTGCTTCCTCATCCTGATGTGATCTGTGTTGTGTTCATGTTTCAGCAACAACCTTGAAGCTGAATGTAACAAAGCAAGAAGATGGCTAAGATTAGCACCCAATACTCCCACCCTACTGTAAGAACCAGGGACAGAGATCTGGACCACGTTGAAAACGGCCTCAGCAGGTGAGATGGGCTTCATTTCATACTCATTTTAGAGAGGTGGAAAATGAAGCTCAAAAAGTTATGTGACTTCTAAAAGGTAACAAAATGAAGATTCAAATTCAGCAAATTAAATTTTACTGTAAAACTTCTCCAAACTTCTCCAAACATTTTCCTGTGTACATATTAAACATTTGTTGGACTCTGCACCAGACATTGTCCTGGGCACTAGGGATGTAGTACAAATCAGATGACCTGTCCCTTGCTTCCAGGGGAAGGTCAGGATTCATGCTGTGCTCATGGGCCTGCAGAGAGTGGGCTGTGCCTTGCCAGTGAAGCCATCAGCCCCATCAACCACATGCAAGCAGCCATAAGGAAATCTGTACCTGAGTTCTACTTCTAGCCCTGTTTGTAGCTTTAGTAGATTGGGGAAAACACACTTAATTTCTCTGTGCCTCAGTTTCTTCAACTGCAAAATGGAGCAGCATCTTTTCCAAGCTCCTAGAATAACAGTGAGGAAATGGGAAAGTACCTATTTGGTGCAAATAGACATATTTTTAGGTTTCTTAAACTCTCAACAAGTTGGTTGAGTTGAACTATAAGAAACCTTATTTCTAATATTTACATTATTGTTGTTATATATGATACACACACATGGCATACACACACACACACACACACACACACACACACACACACACTGAAAACTTCTCTCTCCCATGAAATCTGCAGAATATCATATGGTCACAACCTGCAATGACAGTCTCTCAGTGCTCATATCCCCAATACTAGGTCCTCATCCACCTTTTCTCCTCAGTCAGTTATATATATCACACCCTCTCTCAGATGCACATTTGGTTTTTTCTCTGTCTAGATTCTTAGTACCAGAACCTTAGTTAACTGCTCATGAATGATGGACAACCATTTCCAAAGAGATTTGAGTTCCTATTATAATAAACCTATGCAGACCTAGGACCCTACATTCTGGGATTCAGGCAAAGGGAGGAATATCTCAAAGCATCCCAACAGGTATTTATTGCTGCCAACCATTTTAACATGGTACTGGAGCCCCAGGAATCTTGCTATGACTTAGGGCCATCAGAAATTCTCACCCTGCTCAAATTTCTCCCTCCTAACTGGCCTACTGTCAATATCAGGGTCCTGCCACTGGGGACTTATTCTTTTAGGTTGAGCCATTGCCCTTAATCTAGAAGAAAATAAGAACACTCTTAAGACACATAACTGCTTTAAAACTTTGGTATGCATTAATAGCTTCTTTTTCACATCTGAGCTAATAAACCTTTGGGGGTGGGGTGTTCAAAGAAGATTGGGGTGGAAGGGAGAAAAGGTCCACAACAATAAAGTCAAGCTCCCTGGGCAGCACTGGGCTCCTGGGATCTTGGGCCCAATGTGAGAAGGACAGAGGCTGTTAGGATCAGGAAAATTTTGAAGTAAAATGGAGCTTTCCCCCATTGCTCCCTTTTGCTTTGAGTGGGACATAATCAGAGCATATCATGGAACTTACAGACTCCCTAGGGCCAAGAAGGCAACAACAGGGGCTTAAGAGAAGACACTCAAGATACTGAGATACTCAAGAGAAGGTGGGCCCAGTTGGTGGGCTGGGGCTCCTGCCCAGAATGCCCTCTCGACCAGACAACCACTGTGGTCCAGCTCTGCCTGACTTGTCTTGGCTCTACCTCAGCCAGTGGCCTATTAGCCAAGCCTGATGTGTGGGCTGTCCAAGAGGGCTCACCAGGTCTCCTGGAAGATGACCCTTTGCAGAAGAAACTGTTAGCTCATTAAGCCACACAGATACCTGCTGATGAGCCTCTGTTTCCAAGGGACTCTGTGGGCTCACAGTGGGTTTGTGTACACACAGAAGATTAGTCAGCCACACAGTGGGGGGTTCTGAATTGATTCCCTGCAACAATACTATTTGCCATATTCATGGATGGGAATATGCCCTTCCTTCTCCCTCCTATCCCCTATCCCCTGACCAGCGTGATGACTAACAGGCTCAGGGTCAGACTGGCTGGGTTTGAACATTGGCTCTGCAACTGACCAGCTCTGAAAAATTGTGCAGCTGTTTCAAACCACAGTTTCCTCATCTGTAAAATGTATTAGTACTGACCGCAGAGGGCTGTAGTGAGGTTAAAACAGGTGAAAGCTCCCAGCACAGTCCCTGCTGTGAGAAAGTGCTCAGTCAGTGCTCACTGTCAGCGTTGGAAATGATTCTCCCTCCTGTGGTCCTTTCCTGGTGTTCCAGGCTGGAAGACTTCTCCTGCTCTGACCTTACATAGCTCCAGCTGTCCTGACATCTGGATCTGGCCATTTCCTGCCTGTGACCAAGTCATGCTTTCTCAGCCTGACCACTAGTCCAGTCTCACTGAGACTGCCCTGGGGACTTGCCCAACCACTGATGTGGTAAAAGCTTGTTGACAGATTAATACAGAATCCCATGGAGACACTATGGAGATGTCAAAAGGTGAGAGAGAAAGAATGCTCCCTTCATAAGACAGATGTTTGCTTTATCTTATGGAAGCAGGAGTGGGTTAACAAATGGAAATTTCCAGAATGGGTTCCTTGGAGCTACCAAGGATTGAGCATGTGTGTTCAGGCTGAAGGTGAAACAGCGTTTGGCCAGAGGCTGAGTCCAGGCCCCTCCTCTGCTTCCCAGTGCAGCCCAGCATCTGTCTATATACAGACTAGTTTTCCCTATAAGATTTACTTGAACAAGGGACTCTGGCAAATACACATAAAATTTTAAAGTTTCAAATCACTATTTTAGGGGAGAAAATGGTGCTTGAACAAACCATAGATCTTGGCTTTAAAATTCAAATCCATTTAGAAAGCTTATAGGAGAAAAAATTGAGGTTTAAAAAATGTTTATTTATTAATTTTGCGAGAGAGAGAGAGTGATCATGCGCACAAGCAGGGAAGGGGCAGAGAGAGGGGGACAGTGAGACAGTCCCAAGCAGGCTCTGAACCGTCAGCACAGAGGGTGACACAGGGCTCAAATTCACAAATTGTAAGATCATGACCTGAGCCAAAATCAAGAGTCAGATGCTTAACCAACTCAGCCATCTAGGCTCCCTTGGAAGAAATAATTGCTAATGTGTGTCCTTAAATATTAATCATTCAGGAAGCTTGGGTGGCTCAGTAGGTTAAGTGTCCGACTTTGGCTTAGGTCATGATCTCACAGTACATAGGTTCAAGCCCTGCATAGGGCTCTGTACTGACAGCTCAGAGCCTGGAACCTGCTTTGGATCCTATGTCTCCCTCCCCCTTTTTTCCCTCCCCCACTCATGTTGTGTCTCTGTCTCTGTCTCTGTCTCTCTCAAAAAAAAAAACAAAACCAAAAAATTAATCATTCTTTATCCTCAATGATATCAATGAAGCTGTTCTGGGAACCTGCATGTCACTGTGACCCTTTGCTGAATGCCCCCAGGAGGGAGGAGATATCATGTCCCCATCCCCTAAGACATCCCTGTCTCCAAATTGGAAAGCCCTGTCCCCATCCCTTTCACTAAATTGGAAAGCCAGGTTTCTGTTTCTCCTTTTAAATTATTGGGATCATTTTCCTAGTGACAAGCCATAAGGAAGGATGGAAACATTTCATTTGAACAAAGAAGTCAAGTTTATACCCTGGAAATACCAGAAATAGAAATGTCTTGATTTTTTTCCTTTCTATTAAATCTATTTAGTTGACTTGATTATTTAAGAGCTGTCTGGCATATTTGAAAAGATAATGCAGTAGGGAAAGATTTCAGAATCTGCTACAGAGAATTGCAGCTAGAACCGAGGGCACCTCAAATCTCAGATCAATCTCCTAGTGTAGCTATTTTAGTCGAGCTTTGGGGCATAGGGGTTTGTGTCCTACAGAAGAGAAGCCTTCTTCATGCTGCTCTCTGAGCAGAGCCCAAAGCAATTATCACCAAAGAAAACCATTTTCAGCCTGCTTCCCTAGGACTAAAGACAAAAATGCACTCAATTCAGTTCCCTGGTTACATGTGGCCAATGGCAGTACATGTCGGTCATTCACGGTCCTCAGGGCTGGAGAAGAGGAAAAGAAAAACAAGGTATCACATTCTCCACCCTTGTTCTCCAAGGTTTGTCTTCGCTTACGTCCCCAAAGTCACTGGAGGAAGACACCAGGTGCTCCACAAAGTACAAAGCTAATGACAAGCTGCAGTTCTGATGAGAAGCCTGTCTTCTCCCAGTGATAAGGGAGACCTTTACCTCATGGACATGAATTCTCCTTTATAAGAAAACTTAGAAGATGAGCATCATAAGTTGAAAACTACCTTGTGTTTCAAAACAGTCATATCATTGTGTTGTGCTGGTTGCTCTTATTCTTGCTGATTACCAACTTCACGGAGCTCCTTCCTGAAAAGGTATCAGCACTACAGTCAGTCAGTCTCAGTCAGTCGGCAGCTTCAGGGGTGTCCTGGCCTGACCTGATTGTTTGTTTACAGATGAGTCCCTGTCAAGTCCTTGCCCCAGGCCTGTCCTCAAGCTCCTGGCAGGACAGCTCCTGACTCTCAGTCTCTCTTGCCTCTGTATTTCTCTGGGCGGTTCTGGATCCTCATTTTTTGCATTGGTGGCTCCCTTTTTTCAGTAACTGTGTGTCCATGGGGACTCAAAATGTCACCTCAAACTTTGGTTCTCCTCTCTTTCCATCTCTTCTTCCATCTGCTTGGTAAAATCAGTTTCTCTGAGGAATAACTAATCAGGTTTACTATTTAAATAGCCCCAGGCAAGAGGATGTGGAGAAACGGGAACCCTCTTGCACTGTTGGTGGGAATGCAAACTGGTGCAGCCGCTCTGG